TTTTCAACCAGAGCATCATTTAGGTGAAACTTTATTAACTGATATACCTAACTTTGATATAATAAAAAATGTACCATTAGACTACATGCACCTTTTATGTTTGGGAGTCTTTAAAAAATTGTTATGTTGCCAAAAATATGGCCTAGTGTTTGGAAAACCACCATATAAATTAAGATATTCTGATATCACTATAATAAATAGGAAACTTGAGGTTTGTTATAATTATGTACCTTGCGAATTTGCTCGCAAAACAAGACCTTTAACTGAAGTGAAGAGATATAAAGCAACAGAATTAAGATTTTTCCAATTATATTCAGGTCCAATTGTATTAAAAATATTTTAAGCAAAAAATTATATAATAACTTTATAACCTTAACAGTAGCATCTATAATATTGATAAGTTCGGAGTTTTCTCAACATGATGAGTACCTGAATTATGCAGATGACTTATTAAAAAAATTTGTTACAAATTCATTAGAATTGTATGGTCCTGATATTGCTTCTCATAACATACATAACTTATTACATTTAACTGACTGTGCACGTTTATTTCGCTTTAGATAAATTTTCAGCTTTCCCATTTGAAAATAAAATGCAAAAGTTAAAGAAAAAAATCAGGAAGAGTGTAAAACAAGCGAACAAGCTGCTCAAGTGGCAGCTTGTTCGCAGAAGTTCTGAGGAGAAAAACTTAAGTAACATTTTGAATAATGAAAATACTGATTCTGATATACAACTTTTAATGAAACATTATTCTGGTCCTTTAGTTAATGAATTTAATGCATTAAATCAATTTAAAAAATTAAAAACCAAAACATATTGCATAAATATTTCAAAAACTGCAGATAGATTTATTTTGTTAAAAAATGATACCATTGTAGAGGTTAAAAATATTATTTCTAATTCTAACCACATAGCACTTTTAGGTTTTAGATATAATAAAAGTAAAAGTTTTTTCTTGAAACCTTGTGATTCTTCCATTTTTGGAATTACCTATACTATACTATATAGAAAAATCTAATGATGATATTAATATGTGGCAGTTTGATTTATTTCAACAAAAATTAGTAGTTTTGCCAATCGAAGATAAGTTAGTAAGCTTTCCGTTTCTTCATATACATTAATATATGATAATTATTGCTCACAGAATTTTGTTTCATTCTTTAATAACTTGCTCCAAAATAGTTTTTATATATTTATAAATTTTATCAGTTTTCATTTTCTTTTTTGTTTATTTGTATTTCAATTTAAAAAAAATTATAAGTGTAATTTAATAACAATTTTGTATTGAATTGAAAAACCACTGATATAAATTAGCTAAATATTGAATAACTTAATAATACAGTGGTTTTTTTAGGCAAAACTTAAAAAGTTTGTGTTTGTGTCCATGTCCCAATTGGCAATATGGTTCTTAGCATTTATTTATTATTTTTATAATTATAGTTAAAGCAAATGGTTTGTGAAATGATAATCGTAAAATAATATCATGATCAATGGTACCATCCATTTATGGAAAATGTTGTTTTTGACTTTTGAAAAATCTTAACTGACAAATTTTGCAGTAAGCCTAATACCAACAAACATAGGCATAGCTGAAAGATTCCTAGCTCGGTTCAAATTAACTTTAAAATTAAATATGTAAATTTATTTAAATCTTTTTTTTGACTAAATATATTTTTTTGTAATTACGTATAGAAATATAGAACATACCACATAAATCAGATCAGATATTTTAGAATTATTAGTTGCTATTTTTGTTGGCCAAAATATTTGTACAAAATGTAGTTTTTAAGTGAGCTTTGAGATTTATTTATCGTAGGATGTGGTTAGTCGTACATTTTCTAGAGGAAAATACGGTGGACGTGGTCCCTTCAAAATGGTACCTAAACAGAAATAATGAATGCTTCTGGCCCGACACAAAAATTTCTAAACAGAAAATGTTGGATATTATTAAAAAGTGTGAAGATCCATTACCAAATTGGATTTCTTATTCCGCAAAAATTTTGGGAGAATATAGTAAGTAGGACCCATTTTTAAATACCAAATACCGAATAAATAATTTATTTGTTTTGCAATTATTCAGATGTCATACCTAATTCAAAAAATATATCTACTTGTTAATTTCAAAATTATTTGTTAATTTTTTATTGCAGGTAACTTTGGAGTCGCTGAAAAAAAAGTTTCAAAGCAAAAACAAGTGACGTATTGTCTAGTTCAGATTTAGATGTGAGAAAAAAGAAGAAACCACAACGTTTCTCATTTTCCAATACATCATCTGAAAATGAAACGGACTCGGACACATCAGGAGAATATCCAAGAGTTCCATCAGCACTTCAAAAAACACCTGGTAAGGGACGTAATGATAATCTAAACTGGGTTTTGTAAATGTTCATCCGCTGTATTGCATAACTGCTGTCTTAAGTGCACTGTTTACATTGTAGTAATCTAGTACTTTTCTACTTTGAAACTGAATGAGAACAATTTAATGTCATTTTTTTTAAGGTGACCATCAACAAGAAATTTCAGAAGCGAATAGGGCAATTAGTGCTATATCAATCGGAACTGATACTAACCAGGAAATTGTTACTGAAGAAAAATTAGAAGGTAAACAAAATAAAAAAGGTGGATTGGTATGACATTTTAGTATTATTATTTATTTCAGAATTCAAAAAAGAAATTAGTAGACAATTTGCTATTATTAATGCCAAATTAGATGATATGTCGGAAACATTGAATTTGGCGATAAAAATAAGACAGGAAGAACCACTTCTGAAAGATATTGATGACAAATTAAAAAATATCATCTCCATACTACCATTTATCAGACCAAAACAATTTGAATGCTCTGGAGGAATTCTTGTTGGATTCTGCCAATGTTGCAGCCTTTGTAAGAGATAATTTTGTTTGTTGATAATTCTTGCATACACTTTAAACATAAAAAAAACTAAATTAGTAACTTTAACTTTTTAGTAACATTTTATTTATTTCAGAGTAAGTACCTAAGCCTAGTTGGAGGTAATAGTGCCAAAGATGTGGTAAAACACATCATGTTCAAAATTTTCAGTGCACAGATGGGCTGTTAATACAGTTGGGATGGCGCCAAGAAGAAAAACAGATTTAAATCTCTCAAAGTGGCACAAGTTATAATAGGTAATATTTTTGATACATTTCTTTAAAGATTAATTTATCAATTTTGAATTAGTTTTACATGATTACTTTTGTTTATTCTTATTTATTAAAAAAGACCAACTTGATATATTTAGCAATTTAATAGTTATGGCAGGGTTATATTATCATTGGGAAGCAGTATATTAATAAAGAATAGGTACTTATACAATTTTATAATTACTAGTCTTTATGAAAAATAAATAATAGCGTATTAAATTACAAGTTTTATAAGTCATCATTTTAGAGATAAGTGGGCTAAATGTGTATTTTATGTGTATTTTAGTTAGAATTAATTTGTTAGTTAGTTAATTAGTAACAAATTATACTAGCACACTACCATAGTTTTTAGAAATGACATGAGGTATTTAACAGTTAAAAAACATATGAATCATTTTCTTGTATATGAATCATTAGGTACCAACATAAAAAAATAATTTTTTCATAAATATTTTTATGACAGGCTTTTTTAATAAAATTTTTACTTACTTTAGAAATTGAAATTAAGTCTTTGCATATTATGTGGTTTTATATTTTGTAGATTGTGTCTAATGGCAACGATCTTTTGATTCATTTTAGAGCCCGTTACTATTAGACACGGTCTGCAAAATAAGGGCATGTATACTTCCTTTCTGTAACGTCAGAGACAAGTAACAACCATTAAAAATATATACAGATAAAATATACAAAAAATATAGTTGCTGACTTTGACATTGCGTGCCTAAAACATCCCTTTTAGCTAATTACTACATAAATACTTTAACTACATACTTGATTTACTTTAGATACCCTATTTAAAGCATAGAACATACCGTACTGTATATAAATCTGTACCTATGTTTAGAACTAAACCTGTTTTTTTGTAATAAAATGAGAGGACCCTGCAAAATCTTTATGGAAATTGGCTCTCCGTCAAACTGGTTGTAACTTTGGGATTCAATAGTATTTGATGAATAAGTCAAAAGTGAAGATGGATTTTTTCTGGGATGGATAAATATTATTTTGCTATTCAACTAGTCGGTCGTGACTACCCTTTGGCTTCTTTTATATACAGGGCGTGCCAAGGAAAAGGAGTCACATTCAATAACTTTGTATATAATTTGTTTCAGCCAAATTCCAGAAACAGGTCTATATTACTGTAATTGTGAGACAACGCTTTATTCAAATCTGAAAAATACAGGGTATCTCATTATAAAACAAAATTATCTACTTTTCTTTTCTGGGACACCCTATACAAGTGGCAATAGTTTTAAAATGTGTCCCCCTTTCAAATAAAAATCAAACTGTCTCTGGAATTTGGCTGAAAAAAATTATACACAGTTATTGAAACTGGCTCCTTTTTCCTTGGGATGCCCTGTATATAAAAGAAGCCAAAGGGTAGTAACGACCGACTAATTGAATACTTCGGTCCAAGCCAAAGCCCTGTTAAAATAAACACTATTTTGTTTTTTCATCCGAGAAAAAATCCATCTTTAGAGGTAAATATCTCGGGACAATGAGTTTTTCAGGACTTGTACCTATGGAGACGTGATCTATTCATCAATACTTATTGATTTTCAAAGTTACAACAAGTTGACAAGAGCCAATTTCCATAAGGATTCTGTGGGATCCTTTCAATCTGATGAAAGCAATATTGTTGATTAGAGGATAAATATTTATTTATACAACTGAATCTAATTAAAATATTAATGTATTATGTGTAAAAAAGATCTAAATATTTTCAGATACCGTGAGGCTAAATCCTCCTACAAAATTTGCTACTGACTGTGAAATAATTAATAATGTAAAACTCTGGCTTGTCAGATGCCCTGACAGAATAGAAGGAGGAAGAAAATCTGTGCGACCCGGAACAGGAGAAGATCGCTTCAATAATATGGCCGAAAGGGAGCTAACCTAAATGCCAATTTATAAAAGTTCAATATTTTATGTTTATGCAACACAAGTTTAATAGAAAAATATTCTTTCTTTTTTATTATTTACGATTTGCTACTTGGCAGAATTATACATTTTATTTCACTGAAACTTTGGATATAGAATTTTTATTATACATATGTTGACCAGAACTTCGAAAAACTAATGGGAAAAATATTTGTTTTAAGTTGCAGTCTCCGTCCATATTTATAATTTGTAATTGTTTTTCTAATATATACAGTGTATCCCACCGGAAATCGCCGCGATCGATATCTGGAAAAGTACTTATTTGATAATTTTGAAAATTTGGCAACTTATCAAAGTCAGCGGGGAAACGCAACTAAAATATTTTCAAGGTCATAGCACTTCCGGTTATACCGGAAGTCGACACCATCTTCGTTATTTTAAATGGAACACCATATATATTTTTGCATATTTCGATTCTACTTGAAATTTTGAGGTCACTTTGTATAACAAACCTAGTTCCTAAAATTTATAGTTTTTGAGATATCGACATTTTCATGAAAAATTTGACAGGTGCAAGGTTGTGCGGGATCCTTTGTATTTTATTCCAGCAACTAGATATCAATTTGAGATTCGGTATGTGAGTAGAACACGTATGGAGCAACCTTACACAATATCCATAAACTAGAAAATATGATACCGAGTGTTTAATTTTCGACTGTACTGTTTGATAACTTCAAAGAGTTATAACTTTGTTAAGTTAAATGGAACACCCTATATTTTTTTGGCCCATCTTGTGCAGTAATTAATTATCTTTCACGTAATGTAGGCATTGTAGGGGATGTGGTCACAACTTTTAGAGATAATTGCAATTGTTTACTTTTATCTTTATCAATTTTTATATAACTTTATAAACGTGATACATTTGCAGCGCGATATCCAGACAAACAAAACCCCTAAAGCGGAGTATAGTAAAGCGTCTGGTAGAAACTTTTTGACATTTCGACTGTCATAGTAAAACCAGACAGAGGAGTATCTGTTGTTGATAGCTAAAATGTCGAAATTTCAATATTCTAATTACTTCAGGACATTTCCAACTACATATTATGTGAATGAAGCAGACGCTTTACTATACTCCACTTTAGGGGTTTACTTTGTTTAGATATCGCGCTGCAGATGTATAAGGTTCTTGATATTGCTTTGTTACTTTGTCCGTAAATAATAAGCAAATTAAAAAAATCTCATTACTAAAATGTTACTACACACTATAAAATACAAATAATAATTTGACAGTTCGTTGTTTAATAGTTTGATTGTCAATAACGATTGTTCGTACTCATAGACCTCTTGATAAAATTATGTCAAAATTAAAAAATAAAAGTAAAAATTGCAACTATCTCAAAAAGTTGTAACCACAGCCCCTACATGCCTACATCACGTGAAATATAATTGATTACTGCACAAGATAGGCCAAAAAAATACAGGGTGTTCCATTTAAGTTAACAAAGTTATAACTCTTTGAAGTTATCAAAATGTACAGTCGAAAATTAAACACTCGGTATNTGTACTATAGGTGTCGGTATGAACGATTAGCTCCTTCGTTGCGAGTCGTTCGTTCACGGCACAAGATTATGTGCCGGCACATTCGTGCGAGTCGTTCATGAGCGGCCCAGCTCTATATTAATCACAGATTATTAAAGTATTAATCTCATTTTGTGTGATATTTTGGCTGTGTTGTGACTGTGTGTTAATAATTTAAACAAATAAGTGTACTTTAAGAGGTAAGTGATACCTATACGAGCAGTGTAAAAGTGTTAAGAGTCGTTAAGACTTTATAAGTAACTAGTAAGTACTCCATTAATGTGGAGTAGTACGACCTAGTGGGAATACGAAACGAATAACCCACAAATTACTGGAATAACCAATCACTTCAGAAATCGGAAATGCCAAAAGTTGAGAAATTTTTTAAGAACTCTTCCGGCAGATCTATATGACAGATTTATAGAGACGTAAACCGTCGTGTTGAAAATAAAATGACTATATATAATTCACGAAATGTAAGACATAATATTAATCAATCAGAAATTGGTAATAATATGGTTATACAGTCAGGTACAATAGTAAGCAATGAACTGGAAGTTAAACATGATGCTTTATTTCATTCCACTGTAACTAGTCAGGATAACAATAACCCCAATCAAAGCATAACAAATACTGTGGTATGGGCATCAATAAGTACTTCATTAGTAGAACATTCAAGCAGTAAAACTAGCGATACAGTAACAAATTTAAATATCCAACAAATGCTTGCTCGTTGGGCTATTGAAGAAAATGTTGCACTGTCTTCTGTAAGAGCACTATTAAAAATTTTACGTTCAGACCCATGTTTATCAAATATGCCAAAAGATCCTAGAACTCTTGTCAAAACAGCCACAGACACACATGTAATATCTTTAGGGACAGGAGGTTTCTATTATTTTGGAATAAAAAGTAATATCCTGCATTTATTTCATCATTGTAATGTTACAATTTCAGCTAATGACATAATTCAATTAGCAGTAAATATTGATGGCTTACCCTTAAGCAAAAGTACTAATAGTTCATTTTGGCCAATATTAGGCTGCATAAAATCTGTTGATGCTGTTAAGAATAATGTTTTTGTAATTGCTGTCTTTCATGGAAATGGAAAACCTCCATTAAATGATTTTTTAAAGACATTTGTCGAGGAATGTGTAGACTTATCCTATAATGGCATATGTATTAATAATATAACATGTATTTTCAGGTTGTATATGTTGATATGTGATGCTCCTGCTAAAGCCTATATTTTAAATATAAAAGGTCATTCAGGGTATTTTTCTTGTACAAAGTGTAAGCAAGAGGGTGACTTATTAGGCGGTCATGTGTGTTTTGTCGAAGGAAATTTTGTTAAAAGAACTGATAATGAATTTCGATGTCATTTTCAACCAGAGCATCATTTAGGTGAAACTTTATTAACTGATATACCTAACTTTGATATAATAAAAAATGTACCATTAGACTACATGCACCTTTTATGTTTGGGAGTCTTTAAAAAATTATTATGTTGCCAAAAATATGGCCTAGTGTTTGGAAAACCACCATATAAATTAAGATATTCTGATATCAATATAATAAATAGGAAACTTGAGGTTTGTTATAATTATGTACCTTGCGAATTTGCTCGCAAAACAAGACCTTTAACTGAAGTGAAGAGATATAAAGCAACAGAATTAAGATTTTTCCAATTATATTCAGGTCCAATTGTATTAAAAATATTTTAAGCAAAAAATTATATAATAACTTTATAACCTTAACAGTAGCATCTATAATATTGATAAGTTCGGAGTTTTCTCAACATGATGAGCACCTGAATTATGCAGATGACTTATTAAAAAAAATTTTTACGAATTCATTAGAATTGTATGGTCCTGATATTGCTTCTCATAACATACATAACTTATTACATTTAACTGACTGTGCACGTTTATTTGGCGCTTTAGATAATTTTTCAGCTTTCCCATTTGAAAATAAAATGCAAAAGTTAAAGAAAAAAATCAGGAAGAGTGTAAAACAAGCGAACAAGCTGCTCAAGTGGCAGCTTGTTCGCAGAAGTTCTGAGGAGAAAAACTTAAGTAACATTTTGAATAATGAAAATACTGATTCTGATATACAACTTTTAATGAAACATTATTCTGGTCCTTTAGTTAATGAATTTAATGCATTAAATCAATTTAAAAAATTAAAAACCAAAACATATTGCATAAATATTTCAAAAACTGCAGATAGATTTATTTTGTTAAAAAATGATACCATTGTAGAGGTTAAAAATATTATTTCTAATTCTAACCACATAGCACTTTTAGGTTTTAGATATAATAAAAGTAAAAGTTTTTTCTTGAAACCTTGTGATTCTTCCATTTTTGGAATTACCTATACTATACTATATAGAAAAATCTAATGATGATATTAATATGTGGCAGTTTGATTTATTTCAACAAAAATTAGTAGTTTTGCCAATCGAAGATAAGTTAGTAAGCTTTCCGTTTCTTCATATACATTAATATATGATAATTATTGCTCACAGAATTTTGTTTCATTCTTTAATAACTTGCTCCAAAATAGTTTTTATATATTTATAAATTTTATCAGTTTTCATTTTCTTTTTTGTTTATTTGTATTTCAATTTAAAAAAAATTATAAGTGTAATTTAATAACAATTTTGTATTGAATTGAAAAACCACTGATATAAATTAGCTAAATATTGAATAACTTAATAATACAGTGGTTTTTTTAGGCAAAACTTAAAAAGTTTGTGTTTGTGTCCATGTCCCAATTGGCAATATGGTTCTTAGCATTTATTTATTATTTTTATAATTATAGTTAAAGCAAATGGTTTGTGAAATGATAATCGTAAAATAATATCATGATCAATGGTACCATCCATTTATGGAAAATGTTGTTTTTGACTTTTGAAAAATCTTAACTGACAAATTTTGCAGTAAGCCTAATACCAACAAACATAGGCATAGCTGAAAGATTCCTAGCTCGGTTCAAATTAACTTTAAAATTAAATATGTAAATTTATTTAAATCTTTTTTTTGACTAAATATATTTTTTTGTAATTACGTATAAAAATATAGAACATACCACATAAATCAGATCAGATATTTTAGAATTATTAGTTGCTATTTTTGTTGGCCAAAATATTTGTACAAAATGTAGTTTTTAAGTGAGCTTTGAGATTTATTTATCGTAGGATGTGGTTAGTCGTACATTTTCTAGAGGAAAATACGGTGGACGTGGTCCCTTCAAAATGGTACCTAAACAGAAATAATGAATGCTTCTGGCCCGACACAAAAATTTCTAAACAGAAAATGTTGGATATTATTAAAAAGTGTGAAGATCCATTACCAAATTGGATTTCTTATTCCGCAAAAATTTTGGGAGAATATAGTAAGTAGGACCCATTTTTAAATACCAAATACCGAATAAATAATTTATTTGTTTTGCAATTATTCAGATGTCATACCTAATTCAAAAAATATATCTACTTGTTAATTTCAAAATTATTTGTTAATTTTTTATTGCAGGTAACTTTGGAGTCGCTGAAAAAAAAGTTTCAAAGCAAAAACAAGTGACGTATTGTCTAGTTCAGATTTAGATGTGAGAAAAAAGAAGAAACCACAACGTTTCTCATTTTCCAATACATCATCTGAAAATGAAACGGACTCGGACACATCAGGAGAATATCCAAGAGTTCCATCAGCACTTCAAAAAACACCTGGTAAGGGACGTAATGATAATCTAAACTGGGTTTTGTAAATGTTCATCCGCTGTATTGCATAACTGCTGTCTTAAGTGCACTGTTTACATTGTAGTAATCTAGTACTTTTCTACTTTGAAACTGAATGAGAACAATTTAATGTCATTTTTTTTAAGGTGACCATCAACAAGAAATTTCAGAAGCGAATAGGGCAATTAGTGCTATATCAATCGGAACTGATACTAACCAGGAAATTGTTACTGAAGAAAAATTAGAAGGTAAACAAAATAAAAAAGGTGGATTGGTATGACATTTTAGTATTATTATTTATTTCAGAATTCAAAAAAGAAATTAGTAGACAATTTGCTATTATTAATGCCAAATTAGATGATATGTCGGAAACATTGAATTTGGCGATAAAAATAAGACAGGAAGAACCACTTCTAGTCCAATTAACTAAGCCTTTAAATCGAAATTTTGCCAACTTGGCTGAATTTTTGATATGAGTTAGTTTAAGGTATATTATAACAATAAGTGAGAGTAATTTTTTGTTCAACCCCCGGCCAAGGGTGGAAAAAGATAAAACAAAGGGCTTTTTCAAGATAACTCAAAAAGGGTAAG